ACCATACACACCTTCCAAACCTTTTTTATTAATTCATAACGATGCGTGGGGTCCCTCAAGAGTCAAGACTATAATCAGACAAAAATGGTTTTGCATCTTTTATCGAGAATCACACTAGGTTAATTTGGGTGTATCTTATGAATTCCAAATCAGAAGTGGGTGAAATTTTTAACAATCTTCATTCTATGATTCAAACTCAATCTCACACCAAGATTCAGATGCTCAAGATAGATAATGGCAAAGAATCCTTCTATTCTATTCTTATTCCTAATCTCACTCAACACAGTATCCTACACTTAAGCTCTTGTATAGACAACCCTCAACAAAATAGAATCGTTGATAGAAAAAATTAACATCTCTTCTAAGTTGCTCGATTTCTCATGTTTTCTACTCAAGTTCCTAAACACTTTCGTGGTGAAGCTGTTCTCACAGTCACCAACCTTATAAACTAAATGCCCTTATGGGTTCTTAACTTTTAAACTCGATCTCAAACTGTCCTGAAGTTAATTCCTCGTACAAAATTCATCACTGTTCTTGATCTTAAAATCTTTGGCTGCATTGCATTTGTACACCTTTACTCTCAGAGTTGTAGCAGGTTAGATCTCCGATCTATTAAGTGTGTCTTTATCAAGTATTCATCCCATCAAAAGGGTTATAAATGTTATCCTCATGCAACTCGAAAAATATATAATTCTATGGATGTTACCTCTTTGAAAATCATTCTTACTACAAATATGAGCTTCATAGGGAGAATGTAAACGAATCTCATCTTTGGGACTCTATTCCTAATGCCAATACTTTATCTTCAGATACCAATCAAAGTTCCCATACTCAACCCTCTAGTATTCATTATGAGAGTCCCTTTATCTCAACTAAGTCATGGAAAAATCTTCCAATCCTCCATTCATGACTCCATCTTCTTGCCAAGTACCAAACGACAAAGAAAAACAAACTCCTGTCTATATGTGAAGGAAACAACCCAAAAAAGACATAAAGCACATAACATATCTGGAGGACTACCATGAATCTGAACAAGGTCAATCAGGTAATTCTAACCATGATAATGTTGCTCAAAACAATGATTTAGATATACTTAATGCTTTGAGAATAGGATTCCGTGCATGTATGAAACATCCAATTGGCAACTATGTGTCCTACAAAATATGGTCACCATCCTATCATGCCTTCGTCTCTACGGTTGATAGCATACAAATTTCTCATTCAATTTGTGAGGCATTGGCTATTTCTCAATGTAAAGAAGCTATGCAGAATGAGATTAATGCTATGGTGAAAAAAAATACATGGACCTGGAAAGAAAACAGTTGGTTGCAATTGATTTTTCTTTGTTAAACACAAGGTTGATCGTAGCATTAAGAGATTTAAAGCTCGTATTGTTGCTAAAGGCTTCACTTAATCTTATGGGATTGATTATCAAGAGACGTTTGCTCATGTGATTAAGCTTAATATTGTTCGCGCTCTACCATCCCTTGCTACAAATAAAGTTTGGGTCTAGTTGATGTTCACCAAAGCTTTACATGGTTCGTGAATTTCTGTTATTTGAGGGGGAGTGTTGGAATGTACATATTGTACTTACTAGCTTTGGCCAAGTTATCCCATGGACCCATATGGTTACTATGTGTAGGGTTCCTACCTCTCTCTCTCTCTCTATATATATATATATATATATATATATATACCTATTCTTGTATCTTCTCCTTGTAAATTACAGTCATTTCCTTGTTTACACTCTTAATGTGGTTCAAATTAAATTTTTTTTTAACAAGTTTACATTATTAATGTGTAAAATCACAATTGTTGATTGTAACACATAGTAATTACAACAAAAGATATTGTATGAAACACCCTTTGCTCCGGACATTTTTAAAGAATCATTTAACACAAGTTTTAATACTTTAAAAATAAAGAGTTTTAGAGTTTTTAATATAAGTTGCGGAAAAAAATGGTTCCAAAAGCATTCAAGTTTGTTTGTTTCCAAAAGGCGAAGTTTCAATAGGTATCATCACAAAGTTTTAAGTTCCCCACAAGGGTCTTCTAATTGTCTATAATTTCTATAGCTACTAAGATCTTCAATCAGAACACACATTAAAACAAGTTGGGCAATGAATTTGCCTAGTGAGTTAATTCAGTTAGAGTAAGGGATCACAATCCATGTTACTTGAATCAAACCTCCAAAATAACAAAAACAAAAGCATATAAATACACGAGTTTAATTACCCAAAACAAAACAAAATATAGGGGGTTATATGCCCAAAAGCTTCACAATTGAAATGTTAATATTTTTAAGTGAGTTATTTTAATTTTAACAAAGTACAAAGGGGTAAACAAGTTTATAACATTAGGTATGATATAATGCATGTAACTACTCACAACCCCTTGTCAATCTCAATAGTCCAATCTCACAATTTAATGGTCGGATATGAAGATATGAAGAGCTCATGACAGACGAAACTGCCAACTTTTGTACTTATATCCACAAACAGGCACTAGAGGCCATCCACCTAGGCACACAAGGGATAGCTAACCTCAACTTTTGTGTCATGCCAGCTTTCCATTCACTCACCAAAAGCCAGGAAATGACCACCTTTCACTTCCTTCTATTTTTTAATTTAATATATATATATATATATATATATATATATATATATATATATTATACAAATATTATACTCATTTTGTAAGGAATTAAAAACCATAAATTTTAATGTATATTTTTTTATAAATTTTTAGTGTGTGTGTGTATATATATATATATATATATATATATATATATATATATATATATAAGTTAAAAAGGAAACAGAAATGGAAATTACAACTGATGAAATGAAGAGAGAGGGAGCGGGGAGGATACCCCTCACCTAGGATGTGGTGTTCTTGGGTGTGGTTCAGGCTCCTTTTACCCTTCCCGCATGGTACATCCTCTGGTCTAACAAATAACAAATAATCGTCAAATTTGGGTACCCGAGATCACAAAGTCACACCCATCCTAGCATGATATGCACAATTAGGAAACGTTTTCAAAGATTATAAACTCTTTTACTTTCAATAACAAATCATTTCAAAATAACATTTCATGAGTGCATACATACGTATAGTAATCAAGTAGCAAGTATTATCATTTAAGGAAAGATCATGAAAAATTAAAGTAAGGTAGGGGATGTATGTTCTTGGAAACTCACCTTAACCTCTAGCTTCCTATAATTACTCCTTCAAAGGTTAACCTCCTCAATCACCACCTAAAAGAGTTGAGGTACATAATTCAACATACCCCTAGTGTCGAAATATTCTCAAACTATCTGGTTATTCATTATTTAACTAAGAGTAATGTAATCGGAATCATGTGAATTGGATAAGCATAACTCAAAGTAATTCTTTTTTGTCAAAGGGGCAAAGAGTGTCGTGCCTTTCCTTGGTGTGTGGCATGCTTTCACAGCAGATCAAACCCCTCTAATATTCAATATTTTAAGCCCATTACAAGTATTTAACCATTAAGCTTCCTGTAATCAACAATTGTACAGTTAATAAGAATTTCTAAGCTCCAATGTTAGTCATTAAGCAACACTAATTACATTGACTTAATTCATTAAATCTTCACGGTAAATCTTGGAATTTATTGATCATTAAACTCATTTTAACAGACAAAGTGCTTAATGTGCTCAATGACTCAATGGAATTACCTTGAAATTCTTCTACTCAATTCACTTCTAATTCAACACAAATAATGTATATGATACATTTCCTATCTATCTATATTGTAGAATTTTGCTTCATAGATATGAAATTTCCAATTCATTCCTTTATTCCCATTTTACCCTTGTGGTTAAACAACCACTAAAACCACATATAGATGAGGTGATTCTTTATGTTAACTTCAAAATCTAATTCCAATGCATCAATCCATGATTATGGATATCCTTTGCATAACTAACTTTATTAAACCAATTCAAACTAGAAAATATAGCTAATAATCTCTAGATTAATATCATTAATACTTGATTCTCTCATTTTCTTAAGTTTGTGCATCCATGAGGATTTTTGTAACAAAACTACTTTAATGGCCATTGAATCATCTAGAAAACAAATTAACAACATCATCATCATTGGAGTCTAGGGTTTATGATGAGATTTCCACTCCAACATCAAATCTACCAAAGGATACTTAAATTTGAAAACATATCAATCATCATATAATTGTTAGAAAATAAAACCCTAGCCATCAAATGAGTTGGAAATCGGATTTAGATTCCCCCATCAACATAAACTCGAATTCAACATAAGTAGGGATGGATTCATACCTTGGAACCCTAGACTTCTACCTTGGAACCCTAACCCTAGACTTCATTTACACTTTGCACCAAATGAACCAAATAAGCTTGAGATGGAAGGGCATGCTATGCAAAAATCTCCATATCCCAAGCCCTGTCCCTCCACAATTGATCTAGTTCACTGTAATGAAGAGAGTGGTGCTCTTATATGTTGAATTTACACATTCTACCCTCCATTTTTGCATATTTTTTTAGAAGAATAGCCCAAGCTTCTAATATGCAGGACAAAACTTTGGAAGTTAGCATCTCAAGTCCCTCTACATCCATAATATGACTTATATACCAAGGTCAGTTAAGTAGGTCAACACCTTGGTCAACCACACTTTTTGACTAATTTTTACATAACTAGTCCTAAATCTTTTAATGTCAAAATTTTAACCATTTACTTATTCTAACCCTTTTTGTATTAAATTTAAGTGTTAAAACTCTTATTATTTTATTAAATTATTTATCTCCTAATTAATTTAACAAAAAAAATTCTAGCTCTAAATTTGGGATGTTACATTCTATTTATTAGTTATACAATGGCAGATCAATCATATAAATCCTTGGTAATTTAAAGTCCCTATATAGCTATATATTGTGGATGTTATTTAGTATTACTACATAGCTTCAGAATTAGTTTATCTCATACCGTTACAATCTTGTTTGTAGAGAAATGGGAGTCTCTATTAAAAACATCGATATATCTTTGGGAGAAATTAGTGTAGACCTAAATGAGGATCTGATTTCGAAAAAGAAGAAGTCATTAGACTCTTACGATGATGAACCTGTACAATCTACCACTACCACTACTGACTCTGAAAAGAAGCAACAAAAGAAACAAGCAACATTTGTGACCATCACAAAGTACACTTATTTGTTCCCCGAGAAGGTTCGTGACTGCTTTTTACACGCCTTGTGGACTAAGAGAGTGTTTGGCTAAGCTTAAAAAAAGGATCTTTTTAAATTATTACCAGTTACACACCAGTATAAGTTAAAATGAGTGTTTGGATATACATCTTTTTAAAAACAACTTATAACGTGTGGAACCCGAGATAAGCCATTTTTTATAAGCTATTGACCCGTAACTTATCAAAAATCCTTATAACTTATAGATGTTTCACATCTTTAGGAAGTATTTTTTTGGTCATTTTGGCAAACACTAAAAAATGCTTATCAATTTATACCGTTTGAGACCATATAAGCTAACACTTTTTTTTTAAAATTTATTTTGATACCGTTATAAGCTAATAAGTTAATAAAACACTTATCGATTCAAATAAGCACTCCCAAACACCCCCTAATTATCATTTTCTTTCCTCACATGCAAAACTTTTAATATCATTTTGATTCTCAGTTATTTTTTTTATTAGTTTTATTTGTAGTTATGGGAGTAAATTATTGCTTCATCCCTGTATTATATCACCTTTTTTTTATGGTCTAAAATAGAATCTTTTTGCATTTTCATCCATATTACTATTTCTTAATGTTTTCCGTCCCTGGGTCATCTTAAATTAATAGAGATTTTGTTAAATCCATAAAAAACAATTATTTTGCCACAATCTTCATCTAGCCTTTATCTCATGGGATGTGTTGGAGTCCCAAAGCAGCTAGTCATGATCTCTGTATATCTTGGAGTCCCATTTCCCTCCATACAGATTCTTTTGACATATCTGACATTAAGCATAGTAAGTGATAAAAAAATCTCTCTTTCTCACTTTATTTGCATATTAGGTTTCCATCACTTTGCCAAAGTTAGATGTGAAGTTTGTACATAAAGAGCATCATATTGTAATGGAGAATAACATCACGGCTGTCCAGTTTAAGAGCATAAAATCTCAATCTGTTGAGAATGTTGGAGAAAGCACATGTCTTGATCTTCAATTAGAATTCAGTGAGATTCATGTACGGACACAACACTAACTTCTTGTTCTTTAATATTATTCCTATTGCTCACAATCTTTTTTTGTTATCTCTCAATTATATTGTAGATTCTTAAAGAAGGTGGAAGATCTGTTCTTAATTTATTCAAGCTTGCTGTTGTTTCGTTTGTTTATATTCGGTCACCGGTAAGTTCTTAAGTTTTTTACAAGCATGCTCTATTTTATCATCAAATGATAAATGTTGTAGGAAGTATGGCAAAGGGATAATGACTTAAAAGGGTAATGCATGTATTTTTTTTTATTTGTACACATTTGGTCACTGAGTTTTTTTTGTCCACATTTACCCTCTTCAACTTGTTAAACTATACACATTCAGTCCTTATGATCGGTTACTCCAGGTTAGTTGGGGAAAATGATTTAATAGGGTAATATATTTCTCATTTTGTACACATTTAGTCCTTATTATTTTTGTAAACATTTAGTCCTTAATATTTTTTTGTTTCAAAATAAGTCATGTTTGTTTTTGTACTCATTCAATACTTATGAATGATTTTTTTAGGTTGTTCTCACAACATCTTACGTGGGACAATCATTGATGAGGTATTTGGGGTTGTTGATACTTATGTCTATCCCAATCTCGACTGCTTGGTTGTATAGGTCTTGTGGTTTTGCTTAGGTCTTGTGTTCTAAATGTCGTAACTTCTTCATACGACATCATATTTTAACGATCTTTATATCCACGTGTTTGGTTTTTGAGTCTACTACAACTTTCGTTAAGATTAATCCCGTTAAAATGTAATATATTCTTATTTACAGTTTTATAAAAGAAAACATCCATAGTATCCATAAAAAAATGTATGGGTATATAGATCGTTAGTAAAAATATTACTCTTTAACGGGAGTATTCTAAACGAAAGTTGTAGTAGACTAAAATACGAACGCATGGATATAAATATCGTTAAAATCCGAGATCATATGAAGAAGTTATAACATTCAGAACACATGACCTAAGCAACCAAGTAGTCGAGATCACGATGGACATAAGCATCAAAAGCCCCAAACACCTCATTAATGATTGTCCGATGCAAGATGTTGTGAGAAAAACCTTAAAAAATCATTCATAAGTACTGAATGAGTACAAAAACAAAAATGACTTATTTTGCAAATATATATATATATATATATATATATATATATATATATATATATATATATATATATATATATATATATATATTAAGGATTACATGTGTACAAAAATATTAAGGACTAAATGTGTACAAAGTGAAAAATATATTACCCTATTAAGTCATTTTTACCGGCCAACCTAGAGTAGCCAGTCATAAGGACTGAATGTGTACAGTTCAACAAGTTGAACGGGTAAATGTGGATGAAAAAAACTCAATGACCAAATGTGTACAAATCGAAAAATATATTACCCTTTTAAGTCATTAAGATTGCTAATAGTATCCTTTACATTACAAATTGTCATCAAATATTCTGATGAACTGGTAATAGTAACTATTATTTTTATATCCACAAATAAGCAGAACATATGACAAATAATCCTCTATAGTAATGTGGAATATTTTCACGTATTTGGGATCATTTATATATGTTGTATCTTTTAGTCATGTAGAGGTGAACCTAATAGACTTCTGAGCTTATAAAAGAATATGTATTTACAGCCAACATCACCTATCAAATTAGAAATTGATGTTAAGTTGGGAGGCACACAGTGCAACATAATTATGGCAAGATTAAAGCCATTGATGCTACTGCGGCCCCCAAAGAAGAAAAAGGCAGGGCCAAAAGATGAAAGTGCCAATCCAGTAAAGGTCCAGTCAAGTGATGAATCTAAAGTCATTATATGGACATGCACATTCTCAGCCCTAGAAACAACCATCGCACTTTTTAATTTGGAAGGATTGCCAGTCTATCATGTAAGTATTTTTATCTCTTACATAGCAATATAATATCAGAATTCTTGTGACTAACATCTTCTGTTTATCTAATCATCTCGAATATAAAATGTTTTGTGCTATGAACTCACTCAATCTTAACAATGATTCAATAAACACTAGAAGATGAAGTACGAAAAGATAATCAAAATCACTACTCAAATTCTTTTAGATTGAAAATAAGGGTTCATGGAAATTCGAGAGTGAAGGTACAATGACCAGATTTCATTAAAAGATACCTCTACCTTATTTCTTCAGCCTACTTAAAGGACATCATACTAACAGAAACAAAAGATAAAATTCCTAATTTACCCCTCCACTATCAAAAGATTCCCCAACTAATTTTAGCTCAATTTAGTTAACTGTTTTCCCATTTCTACCCTTACCTAACATATTAGACTGAAGTGGATGCATAACATTTTGTCACTAGGTTATGAACTCTATTTAAATGGGGGACGATCAAAAAACTTTATAGCTCAACTCGTACAAACGATGCTGACAACCTTGAAAGCATGGCCACTTCTAAGAAATTTTCTTTCTAGTTGAACATGTTACAATTGCCTTCTATAACTCTCTTGAGATTATATGTAGAGAAAAAAGTGAAACTAAAGTTGGTTCAGATGGCCTCATTGGTAAATTGGTAATTTGTTTGTGCTTTCGTCATGTAGTTGGATAAGGAAGCTGATAAGGTCTAGTGATGGCTTCAAGAATTAAACTCTTATTAAAATACTCATATATATATATATATATATATATATATATATATGTGTGTGTGTGTGTGTGTGTGTGCATGCCTGTGCGCGATAAATATAGCTAGGGCCCCAACAATAAATTTGTCGATATATATATATATATATATATATATATATATATATATATATATATATATAGAACCATGAAATTTGACTTCATTTTTATTCAAAAACACAATTTTCTTTCATCGTTACCTTCTTCCTGTTGCTTTTGAACTAATACTATATCTAATTCATGATTGATCCCCAACATCTATGTATTTTGAATGTGTTGTTTTTATTAGACATCTAATAGGCTTCATAACTTCCTCCGGCACCTACTCTACGCATACTTGTATGGTTCTTTTTGATAGGTTATTGGATGAGGTATAGTTTGATGAACACTTTCAAATTTTCACTGTAGTTTTCTGTATTAAATTTCAATATGAAGACCCGCAAGTAGTTGGTAAAATATTATTATACGCGGTTTGTGTTGCAAAATTAAAGTTTGAAAACTCCATAAAAAATATGTACAAAGCCTATCATAAGCTCATATAGAGGATGCAAGAAAGATGATCGAGAGAGATTTGATTGCATTTTGTTAAAACTATGTAATTTTTGATGGTTTTATACCTAATCTTAGGTACGTAACAACAACATATTCCCGCAAGCCCTATATATATATATATATATATATATATATATATATATATATATATATATATATATATATATATATATATATATATATATATATATATATATATATATATATATGTGTGTGTGTGTGTGTGTATTTGCGCTATTCCCCTTGCAACTGAAATCTATAGGCTAGTTGGTTAGTTTGCTTACCTGTTATACGGGACACTCATGTTTGATTCCTACTAATCGTAGTTCTCTTATTAAATTTTGCTCAAATGAAAGGGTGTTGGTTGGAACTCATTTATATATAAATCTATTTCCCATGCATTAGAAATATGTTATAGTATCATTGGATAAGGTACATGGCTTTCAAGTCTTGAGATGTGGGTTCAAGCCTTCGAAATGAACGTTTTAAAAAAAAATTGTTTTTGCCATTTTTCCATGATGTTTCACATAAATTTGTACTAAATGCAAGAACTAAGAATGTACTTTAGTTTATTCAACATCCTACCTTCATTTCTTTTTATTATAACGTTGTACTTTCATTTTTCTTATATAGGACATTGTACTTTGAAAAGTGTACACAAATACAATATTGTACTTCCATTTTTTCTCTTCTTATTATATCCTTTTACTTCGTAAAATTGATCAAATTATAGCCGTTCAAATTGTTTTGCATTTGGATGAATTTGTTATATTTTGTATATTTTTTTAAGTGGAATGTTGTAATAGGAAGAAATCAAAGAAAGTATGTTGCTATTTATTACATATAATCCTATAAACTTTGGTAATTTGACTGACCTCCTTTTTGGTTTTGCCTCGGGCCTAAAATATCTTGTGCACCTTTTTGTTCTTTTCATGTTTAATTTTGCATCTTCTTTCTTCATTCATTTGCAGGGTTGCTTGCAATCTCCGCGTGTGTTTGCCAACAACACATCTAGTACAGGCACTATAGTTCATTTTGAACTCGATGATTTGAATCTGCAAATGGCCAACGAATATCAAGAATCTTTGAAAGCAAGCTTTTTAATCGTGGAAACAAACACGATTTCAGTGTTGCATATCGCAAAAATTGTCCTGGATTTCGGAAAAAAGGCAATAGATTCAGTTTCTCAAGATGGGTCCAACTTAAAATCAGTCCTCTCAGTTGACATAACTGGTATCGGTATGTGCTTGACATTCAACAGTGTCCAATCCTTATTATCTACCGCTTTAATGTTCAAGGCATTACTGAAAAGCCCATCTCCAACTGTTAACACATCATCTTCTACGCAAAGTGAGGCACCTCGTCCAAACAAGTCATCAGGGAAAGGGATCCAATTAGTAAAATTTAACCTCGAAAGGTGTTCGGTGAATCTCTGCAGTGATGTAAGCTTGGATAACGAGATTGTTGATGATCCAAAACGTGTGAATTATGGATCACAAGGTGGCCGTGTTCTTATTAGTGTTTTACCTGATGGGACTCCTCGTACTGCAAAAGTAGCATCAACAGCTTCCGATGATTGCAAAACGGTAAAATATTCGATCGGACTCGAGATTATCCATCTGGGCTTGTCTATAAACAAGGAGAAACAGTCGACTCAGGTGGACATCGAAAGAATAAGATCAGCATATCGGGAAATTATGGAAGATGACAGTTTCGGCACTAAAGTGTCATTGTTTGACATGCAGAAAGCAAAGTTTGTTAGGAGGGCAGGTGGTCTTAAAGAGGTATCCGTTTGTTCTCTTTTCAGTGCCACTACCATCACCGCCAGGTGGGAGCCCGATGTTCAATTAGCATTAACTGAACTCGGGCTACGGTTAAAGCTACTTGTTCACAATCATAAGCAACAAGAACAAGAACAAGACCTCGCCAAGGATAAATGTAGCAGTAGTAGTATAGATAATGAAATTAAGAAAGAAGAGTCGGTAAAGAAAAAAGAATCTCTTTTTGCGATTGATGTGGAGATGCTTACGGTGACTGCTGAAGCTGGAGATGGTGTAGAGACGATGATTCAGGTTCAATCAATTTTTTCTGAAAATGCACGCATAGGTGTACTTCTTGAGGGACTAATGTTGAGTTTTAATGCAACAAGAGTGTTCAAAAGTGGTAGGATGCAACTTTCCCGCATTCCTAATGCCTCTGATCCGGCTGTTAAGTGGGATTATGTGATTCAAGGCCTTGATATGCATATTTGCTTGCCATTTAGACTGCAGTTACGTGCTCTCGATGATTCATTTGAGGAAATGTTGCGAGCTTTAAAGCTTGTAGCTGCTGCTAAAGAGAAAATAATATTTCCGTTTAAGAAAAAAGAGAGCGAGAGTGGGAAACCGAAAAAACCCAGCTCTTCAAAACTTGGTCGTGTGAAGTTGTATATACGTAAGTTAACTGCTGAAATTGAGGAGGAACCGTTACAGGGTTGGCTTGATGAACACTATCACTTAAGGAAAAATGATGCCCGTGAAATGGCTGTTCGATTAAACTTTCTGGATGATCTTCTTTACAAAACTACCGAATCTCCAGCTCATGTTCCTGTTGGTGATTCTGATGATGATGGCCAAGACAAGACCACATCCACATCCACATCCACATGCATGCATGATGCATCGTCTCTTGAAAAAATGAGAGAGGAACTCTATAAGAACTCATTTCGATCTTATTATGAAGCATGTCAGGCCCTTGTGATATCACACGGATCGGGTGCCTGCCAGGAAGGATTTGAGTCAGGGTTCAAGTTTAGCACATCAAGAACCTCTCTTTTCTCTGTTATTGGCACAGCACTTGACATAACCTTGACAGAAATTGAAGGTGGTGAGGAAGGGATGATACAACTTGTACAGAAGCTTGATCCGGTTGCTCGAGAATCTAACATTCCATTTGCTCGTGTTTACGGTTGTAACCTTAATCTGCAGGCGGGTTCACTTGTGGCTCAGCTAAGAGACTATACATATCCTCTTCTTGCTGCAACTTCTGGTAAATGTGAAGGTCGCCTTGTGCTAGCTCAACAGGTCAAATAACACCTTATCTTCCATTTCTCATTTCTTCTTTTTCCAATTTCATTCAGTAAAGGTTGCCACCATTACTATCATATATTTTCATACCAACAACAACGGTGTTGTGCTATATAAAATGATCTTTGCAAGTATTATATAAAAATGGTATTGCTGAGAAATATCATCTGTACTAGTTAGAAATTAATCCAGGAGAAAATAGAATATTTGAGATTCGCAGCATCATGCATTTTTCATGGTTATTCTTGTAACCATCTAGAGTTGTTTCCTTGTTAACGTCATACCATTTTTGTTTTATGAAATGTACTTGCACAAAGTAGCCTGAAGTCAGAAACCGATTGTGTAGTGTAATATATACTAGTTTATGAATATGTGTTGATAGATTGTTTTCATTGTCACACTCTGATTATTGATCTGTGTCAGGGCCGGATGTATTCTGAATGATTCTCCTGATTGCAGGCTACACCTTTCCAGCCCCAAACTCTTCACCAAGTGTATATTGGAAAATGGAGGAAGGTGGAAATGTATCGTTCGGTTGGTGGTACAACTCCACCAATGAAAACATTTTTAGATTTGGCGTTGCATTTTCAGAAAGGAGAAGTTTCATTTGGAGTGGGGTTTGAACCAGTTTTAGCCGATTTGAGCTATGCATTCACTGTGGCTTTACGCAGGGCCAAGTTAAGTGTTAGGGACCCAAATCCCTTTGTTGTCCCTCCAAAGAAAGAGAAAAGCTTGCCATGGTGGGATGAAATGAGAAACTACATCCATGGAAAAACCACCTTATCTTTCTCCGAGATGTTATTTAACATCCTTGGCACAGCCGATCCTTATGAAAAATCTGAAAAACTCCAAATGTCTTTTGGGCATATCGAAATCCAGCAATCCGATGGCAGGATTTACATATCTGCAAGGGAGTTGAAGATTTTTACAAGCAGTTTGGAGAGTTTGCTGAAAAACTCAACCATCAAACCTCCAGCTGGCGCCCAGGGTCCTTTCTTCATAGCCCCAACTCTCATTCTTGAAGTTGCCATGGATTGGGGGTGTGACTCTGGCACCCCTCTTAACCATTTTTTGTTTGCACTCCCATCTGAAGGTGAAGCCCGTGAGTATATATTTGATCCTTTCCGATCCACTTCCCTCTCCATGCGGGTTAATTTGGCTCTCAGACCTCAGAATCAGTCACAGTCCAAAGATACTTCATTTGATTCGCCTACTATAAGTCTTGCCCCTCATGATATTTCTTGGCTACTAAAGTTTGGGAATTTGAATTACCTCCCTCCTGTAAAACTGCGTTTTTTCTCTCGTTACCCCCGGTTTGGTGTCCCAAGAGTTGCTAGATCTGGAAACTTGGCATTAGATAAAGTCATAACAGAAATTATGTTTCGGGTTGATTCAACTCCAACCCGCATACGCCATATGTCTTTAGATGAAAGTGATATAGCAAAAGGATTGACTTTTAAGATGTCAAAGCTAAAATCCGAAGTGTATCTAGGCCGTGGAAAGCAAAAGTTCAGTTTTGATAGCATGCGTGATCTTCTTGATGTTGTTTACCTGGGTGTTGATCTTCATATGCCTAGGGTGTTTCTGGATAGGGAAGATCCCACAAGTGTTATCAACGTTACAGCAGCATCCAAGAATACCTCACAAGAAAAGGTTGTAAATGATAATTCCGGTGGGTTTTTATTGTCATCTGATTATTTTATCATCAGAAAGCAATCCCCCAAGGCAGACTGTTCACGATTATTGGCATGGCAAGAATCTTGCAAAAAAAGTATAGAGATGAAATTTGGGGCATCCATATGTCGACGTGGAAGTGATAGTGATGATCAAGAAAGGTCCGACCCAAGTGATGATGATGGATATAATGTTGTGATATCTGATAATTGTCAGCGGGTTTTTGTGTATGGCCTTAAGATCCTTTTGGCAATTGAGAACCGAAATGCTATTTTGTCGTGGGCTGCTGAGTTAGGTAAAGCACTCGCACCTCCAAAACCTTCTCCTTCTCGTTTGTATGCCCGGAGGAAGCTGCTAGAGGATCAAAATAAAAGTCTCCCGCTTCAAGAAGATGTCTCCAACACCACCGCTTCTACTGATCAAACTGAAACTGCTTCGCCCAAATCAAAGGAACCTTTAAAATCAGATCACTCTCCATCACCTTCAAATAACATACAACATCAAACATTTGATGATATCGGTACATGCAAACCCACCTTAACAAAAAATATATCTTGATAAATGCAGCAACTAGCAACATACTTCCATTTTGCTTCGTTTATTTTTTTCATTTCTTCCTATTACAACATCGTACCTCGAAAAATCTACCCAAAAACAAAGCAATCTTTACTCCCATGATTGGATAGATTTTTCTAAGTACAATGTCCTCATATGTAAAAAATTGCATATAATTTCAGAGTACAATGCCATAATAAGAAGAAAAGTGAAAGTAAAGAAACGGAAGTAGGATGCTATATTAATCAAATGAATGGAAGTATCTTGCTATTTATTTCCTTTAGCCCTGAAAGTTGTGTTGAAGAAGTAGGATATATACATTGATCTAATCAATTTATGGGTTTTCATTATCAAACATCACTTGGTATGTCTAAAGGTTTCATTGTATTTTGACAGCAAAACATGTCAATGTAGATGGCCCTCAGGAGGATGAGGAGGGCACTTGTAATTTCATGGTAAATGTTATTGAGCCCCAATTCAATCTTCACTCAGAAGATTTCAATGTAAGTTGTTGAGTTCTTAGATTTGATCTTTTTTCTTAGTGTAATCGCTTGAAACTGGTTTAAGGATCCTATAATTGTCGATTTCGCATAAGAATAAGGAGACAATGGTTGAAAAGGGGGATGGGTGTGTGCGTGTTCAGTTTGGGTTTAATAGTTTTCCATGAGCTTAAAATCAGCACCTTCTTAAATGGTCCCTTATTGAGTTCTTTTTAAAATTTGATAGTTTCTTTTTTCCTTCTTTAACAATGGATTAATTAATTATTGAGCGTTTCAGCTTGTTTTTTAATTTTTGGATGTTTTCTAATTTCTGGGGTTTATTCTATCGTTTGTTTTTGTCAATTTTAGTGCCAAATTATTGTTCCAATGAAAAAAAAGACAATAAAGAGTTGGTGCAGTTCAAACGGAAGAGGATGTAGAATAGGGTTAAACATGAGCAATAACATCATACTTTCGCTGATCGGTTTATTATAGCATCTTACTTTCATTTGTTCCATTTACAACATTGTACTTGAAAAATATGCCAATTGTATCTACATACAAAGCAATTCTCCCTGTTACAACTGGAAAGATAATTTAAAGTATAATGTACCAATAAGAAAAAAAAGTTGTTGGGTAGATTTTTTGAAGTATAATAAAAAAATTTGAAAGTAGGACGCTATAACATATGAATAAATGAATGAAAGTATGTTGTTGTGTTTTACATTCATTCCTATAAACTAGAATTAAGACATGGTTCTGATAATACAAAAGTCGAACCTTTTAACAAGTGTAGGAAAATGTTTGTATATCGATTATGTGGTGCATGGTAAGGATCTGAGTATGTTAATGTTGAACAAACAGGGTAGATTTTTGGTGGCTGCTTCTAGTGGGAGAGTTTTAGGTCGGTCATTTCATAAAGTTGTAAATGTTGTATTAGAGGCGATTGAAGAAGATGGTAATGGTGATGGAGGATGTGCTCCTGAACTGATATGGAACTGGTCAGAGCTGTCTGTGATGTTGGAACACGTGCAAGCTCATGTTGCTCCTACTGATGTGGATCCAGGGGCTGGAGTCCAATGGCTACCAAAGATCAGGAAGAGCTCCCCAAAAGTAAAGCGTACTGGGGCTTTACTTGAACAGGTCTTCACCCCCTGTGATATGTACTTCCGCTTCACAACACACAATGGTGGAACAGCAGATTTAAAGGTCTGCCCACCGATTCTTATTTATAATATGCTTCTTTCTAGAAATACCTAGTTTTCAGTAATAGATAAGATAACCCTCAATTGGATTTTCTGAAAACCAAAAGACTATGCAGTTTTGAGTGGTTCTACCCTACCCGTGAGCCTACATTTCATTTACCTCTTGAGATACCGATGAAAGGCGGCATGTTGAACCACTCCAATAAATTACATGTGTTGAGTCAAAAGAAAGAACAACAATAACTCTAGAGACCACTCTCCAGTTTCAACTTCATTGGTTATGAGGCCATATCTTTGTAGAAACTGAACCAATAATATCAACCTTAGAGTTGGAGTTTCAATTCCAATGTGGATTGGACTTCTTGTTCCAACTAATTTACATCTCACATGATGCTCACCAGCTTAGGCCTTTTGTAGAGACAAATTCACCATACGTCTGTAATGTATAACTTAAGTCGTTGAAACTTTTATTTTTCAGGTGAAACCTTTAAAAGAACTCGCCTTCAATTCTGATAATATGACAGCAACCATGACATCTCGCCAGTTTCATGTTATTCTTGATGTTCTCAACAATGTACTCTTGGCCAGACCACCAAAGTAAGATTCTTTATCCTCATCTACTCTTTGCCATCAATATATATATATATATAGATATATATATATATATATATATATATATATATAGAGCTGAGTTATTGTGCTAACCAAAAAAAGCGTGAGAACTTGCGAACTCATAATGTACTCATCATTTTTCAAAACCAAAAACACTAATCTTCTCCAAATGGTGCATGTAAGTCATATCTAGGCTAAAAAAAAAGATTTGACAATTTTTTTTATTCATTTTGGAAATTTGCATATATAGTCAATATGATTGCTAATTGTGCTCATCAACAGTTCAATGACTGCTAATTGTGCATAAATCCACATTTCCAAAAAAACCAAAAAAAAAATCATCAAATCTTTTTTTGAGCCTAGATATGGCTTAGACGCACCATTTGGAGAAGATTTGTGGTTTTGGTTTTGAAAAATGATGAGTTGATTATGAGTTCGCAAGTTCTTACAAATCTTTTGGTTCTCAAAAGAACCTGACTCTCTCTCGACTCTCTCTCTCTACATATATATATATATATATATATATATATATATATATATATATAGCAACACACTTTCATTTATTTTCATATTATAGCATCCTACTTCCAATCTTTTCTATTACAATAGTGCACTTTCATGTTTTTCTTATTAAGGAATCGTACTTCAAAAAATACACCCAATTATAGCATTGTATTTTAAAGTATTTTTCTATTATACTTTGAAGAATCTACCCTTTTATATCAATGACAAATTGCTTATATTTTTGGATGCTGCTGCTATAATTGGTAGATATTTCAACATGCAATGCTGTAAGTATAAGAAATAAAAGTAGGATGAATGTACATTGATATTTTTTGCATCGATCCCTATAGTTTTAGGGATAAAAGTAAGAGTTTCCTGGAGGGAAAGAAAGTTTCTTGTATTAAAGCTTGTATGTAATTCAGGCCTCAGAAAAGTAGCATTCCTAAATCAGCAGAAGATGATGAAGAGATGGAGGAGGAAGCTTATGAGGTGGTGCCTGCTGGTGTTGAAGAGGTAGAACTAGAAAGAGTCAAACTTGAACAGAAAGAACGGATACAAAACTTGCTTTATGAGGATATAAGGAACCTTTCTCTTCCATCTGATACCGTTGTAGATGTGCCCTCAGAAAAGGAAGGGGATATACTCGTCGTAACCACCACCAGACCCATATTGGTAACATCCAAACCTTTTCAACTAATTAATTCAGATAATAAATGGCATAATATATGTAATATTCATATTACATATTTTAGTTGTATACCATTATTTAAATAAACCGATCCACATCCAAACCTTTTAACATGCCACCGAAAATAAATGACATAATAGCACTTCCTGTGAACTATCGAGAGTGTTGTTTACTTTTAGTGTTCATGGCATAGAAAGCCATGAATTCTAATCTAGCGATTTTAGGATCTGAATGTTAGTTAGGGTGCGGAACATGCCACCCACATCCAGAATTTGAGTATTAAACAACCAAACTTTTTACCGAATTTCTGATTAGGCCAAACAAAATAAAATTGTCACCTGGCTGCCGATTTGACCATATACCCATTGCTACTATTTTTTTTTTTTTAATAAAAAGTGGTACCATCTGGGACCTTTTTACTACTGTCCTTGAGACAACCAAGAGCTGTAAACTTACAGATACAAAAGTTTACAACAATAGAAAGGATTAAATCTTTCATGAATTTATGGGAATGATGGATATTGAGACCTTATCTATTCTCGTTGGCAAAAGTTTCATTTATGTGGGGTTCATTATTACTATATCAACTGAATTTCTCATTAGTGAAAGTTACTAATGAGAAATGGGCAGAGAGGTACAGTATATATAAGAAAACTAGAACTTGACCTTTACAGGTGCAAATGCTTAGGAAAGAGGTCATTAATGCACAAAAATCCAGAAAGGCTGTGGCTGCTTCTTTGAGGGTGATTTTGCAGAAAGCTGCAGAGCAACAGCTAATGGAGAAAGAGAAAGAGAAGAATAAAGGCCCGTCATGTGCCATGCACGTATCTTTTCAGTTGAAGAAAGTTGCATGGAGCATGCTCCTCGATGGAAAATCTATTTCAGAGATCGAGATAAATGACATGGCAAGGATTACAATATTCTTGTTTTTTTTAAGACTTTCATGACTTTTAGTCTGCATTTGGCACACTGGACTACTGGACAGACTTTCTTGGGCTATTTTGATGGGAGGGCATTCATGTCTTTTTTGGTAGGACACAAAAAATTGCAAATTCTGTCTGTCGTAGTCCAGTGCAAGCCAAACACAGTAAGTACTATAAACTGTTGAAGGTCTTAAGCATTCTGTTTTTTGGTTTGTTTTGTTTCTATGGACCTATTCGCACTGCTGACGAATATTATATATCAATCGTCGTTCTGTATGCAGATATACGATTTTGACAGAGATTATAAAGATATTGGTGTTGCTAGATTCACAATAAAGTGTTGCGTTGTGAAAAACTGTTTGCCTAATGCTAAATCAGATACACTTCTGGCCGCATGGAATCCTCCTTCCGAATGGGGAAAGTAAGTAAATCTAGATGGCTAATACTCTCAAGCTGATTTTTACCTTTGCAGGTTACCGATATTTACAATTGTAATTCTCATAAGAATGAACCTCATGTATGCTAAATTCAGTGCATTCAGTTCACTGTTGATGACCTTGAGGCTTGAGCATGCAAACGCTTTCATTTCATTTTTCTTGTTATGCCACCTTCTTTCCTTGTTGTCTTGAGGCATTTTGGCAAGCCTTTGATAAGCCCCAACTAATTCTAGAGTGCTTTTAGTTGATTTGCTTTAGTAGAGTTATTCTGTTATCTTTTTGGTTTTAGGGATAGAATGGTCTCTTTGGTATTATGGTTGTTATTGGCAGTTTTGTTATGTTAGGAGCACTATCTTTGTCTGTCCCAGGTCTGTTGTTGGGACCACTTCCCTAAGCTATGTCTAGTAGTATTTATTTCCCTTTTGAGGTTTTTCTTGTGGCAGCTAAGAATTGAATTGTTCTTTTTTCGGTGGAATTCTATCCTAATTTTCTGGTATTATTGAGTGTTTGTTGCTGTGAATCTATTAATTCATATGATGATTATGGAGGGCCTATCAATTGGTATGATGAAGAAGAAATGACAGCAAGAAAGACTAGACTACTTGGAGGAAGCTATGAGGAAGATGCAAGACAGACAGCAACAACAGAAACTGTGGAACCAACAACAAGCTAGAAACCTGGAAGATGTGAAGATCTTCCATAAGGATATGCTCGAAATGCTGAAGAGAATAGACCAGCTCTTGGATGAGAAGGCAGGGCATGGGATTGGAACACCAGAAGAAGAAGAAGGGAATACAACTATGCAACAAAATGAACAACAACAATCTCTATGGAATCAACAACAATCAAGGGCTCTGGAAGATTTGAGGATTAGCCACAAAGAAAGAGATGAAGAGAAAGAAGCTGAGATAGCTAAATGGAAAAAGTACTACTGCTCACAGGAAGGAATGGAGGCTGAGAAGGCTAAGTGGAGAGAGATTTATTACTCTGCCTTGAAGGAGAAGCAGAAAGTAGTCTACGAGGATGAAGAAGAAGTATCATCGGAAGTTGCTGAGTCGGAATTGGAATCCGAGTCAACCCCGCAGCTCCCACCACCACAACCACCACTGCCGTTGCAGCCGCCACCGTTGCCGCTGCCTTCACCATCACTTCTGCCATCACTGTCATCTCCACCACCATCACCACTGCTGTCTCCACAACCTCTAAGAATCGAGAACAAAAACGAGTATGCAACTCTGAATGTTAGAGACTCAAAGTTGTGTGGCGGAATGCTGGAAGGGACTTTTCCTTTCACAAATCGACCGAAGAGAACGTGATAGAGGCTGCGACGAGATCTCTTGGGTATGATTGGGAGCACCGAACCCGACCCATAAGAGACTGGGAAGCGCTTAAGGGGTTGCTTCTTCGACGATTCCGATCGTCAAACGGCGAAGGAGAGCGACGGTTGGTGGAAATGCAAACGGAAATCCAACGGAACGTATTAGTGATGACGGCTCCGTTAAACTTAGGTCATTACAGAAGTGGGCCTAAAAAGAATAATGGGGCCAAAATGAGAGTGTTGGGCTCAATGAAGTTGGATCGGATAATAGATCACTTGGACAATCAATAAAAAATTAAGCCCATACCTTATTACCTCTACAGCGAGAAAGTTAGCCCAGCATCCGGGCGAGATACCACCATTTCTCTGTTGATCGACAACCTCTCTCTCTGTAGTCTGTACCTTCGCCTCGTTGTTGTCGTGTCGTTAGCGTCGAACTCTTCCAAAATCTTAGAAGCCATCTTGACTCTCGAATGCAAGTATATTTTTTCTATGGAGCGATTGGAGTTGTTTGTAGTGTTGGAAGATGCAGTAAGTCATGATATTTATCTTAATTACCCAAGTAATCCTCTCAAGGATCATGGCCAGTTTGTAACTCGACCCTATGTGATTTGGGAATCAGTCATCAAAAGAGATGGTACAAACTGATCCTACTTTGTGGATCTTCCCAGGATTAGTTTGTCTTCCACACAACAGGAACAAAGCAACACAGTATTCCAGCTTCGCAAACAAGTATGGTGGGGCTGGAGTAGCTCTAATAAAGAGTTTTTGTGTATCTTGAAATTCATCTATTTTGGGCTGGTCAGGAGACTTGCTGCATACCTGAACAAGGAGAACATGGTCTTTTAATTTCTGCCCTCAAAGTTACTCCTGGTTCAGGTTAGAAAAGTTTTATTTTCTTATTCGTCCACTCAAAAGTAATTATTCTCATATACTTAAAAAGAATTGTGGGAATTGGAAACTAATAAGGAAACACCTATGCGTATTGTTTACCAAGGGAAGTCCTTGTTGGCTAATAAGGAGAAGTTGACGAGCTAAGTTAGAATTTGATGGTGTGTTGGAAATATGCAAGGATATGATACAGAAGAAATGGGCTCTGGTCAAAAATTCAAAAGCTGATGCAACAAAGGAAACACCTATGCGTTAATTCTGTATCAATGGATGACCTGTTTTTATCCTTATCAGGTAGGGTCTGTTTTGGTCTTCAATCTGATCAAGGAATGATCATGTCATCTGCTGCTATCATCAGCAAAGACTAGTCAGATAGTGGCTGGAAGAGGTGCTTACCTTCCACAAATGAATGAAAATGCTGATATCACCTCACAATGGATTAGGTCTTAGGTTCATTCTTATCGTCCGTACTTGCATTATTTATTTGTAACTTGTTTTACCCGGTTTGAACTGTAATAGTTTTCTGCATTGATCGAGTCTTGTAATATTTGTTGTCCCTAAGTATAGATTTGGTTTTGTTGCAATTGTCCCTGAGTATCAGTTATCTCATTCACTAAACCACGCATGCTTACTTTAAATAAAATAGACAAATAACTTTTTGTAGTCAGTGTGTATGTTATTCCTGAATGATGCGATACTAGTTTTGTGGGGCCGCAGGAAAGTCATGATTCGTGTAGATGCAAAACTAGGCGCTCCAAAGGATGGTGCCTCACCTATTGAATTGTTCCAGGTATCTCTATCTACAGTATTTTCTTGGTGTTTAAGATTACCAAATTTCTTTTACCTATTAATTATCACTATCATTATGAAATGTTGATCCTATTGAGTGTTGTCATTAATAATAGTCAAACACTTATTTGCGCATATTTACATGTTTGAACATATAGGCCGATGTTTACCCCTTGAAAATACATTTGACTGAGACCATGTACCGGATGATGTGTGGATATTTCTTCACGGAGGAGGAACAAGACAGCCACCGGCGGCAGGTCATAAACTTACTATATGTGTATATATATATATATATATATATATATATATATATATATATATATATATATATATATCAACCACAAATAATAATTTTTTCATAAGTTGAATGTGACTTTTCGACAAATAGGAAGTTTGGAAGGTCTCGACAACTGCTGGTTTAAGAAGAGGCAAAACCAAGGAATTAGAGGGATCCTCCAAATCAACCACTGCCGACCCCTTGGTAAGTCCTAACATTTAAATATTTGAGTGGTTTCATTTAGTAAGTAAGTAATGCTTGATGCATGCATTTAGGCATCAAAGAAAGGGAAAGTATCAGGCCATGAGTTAAGGAGAAGCTCTTCTTTTGATAGAACATGGGAAGAAAATGTAGCCGAATCTGTGGCTAATGAACTTCTAGAACAAATGCAATCCTTTGAACAGGAAGAGTTGAGTAAACCTAAAGCCAAGGACTCAAAAACTTGTGCAAAATCATCAAAAACTGGAAAAGCTTCAAAACCTGGACATGAAGAAAAGAAGGTAGGTAAACCAACCGATGGAAAGAAAGGCAAGCCTGAGGTGATTAGAGAGTTTCATAATATCAAGATAAGTCAGGTATTTCAGAGATAGATAAAAAAAAAATTATGCTATGAGTTATGACTTCTTTTCCAAAGTTTAAGTATTTAGAGCACTTATTTTTCCATTGAAACAGGTGGAACTACTGGTGACTTATGAAGGTTCAAGATTTGCAGTAAGTGATCTGAGGTTGCTGATGGATTCATTCCACCGTGTTGAATTCACTGGAACTTGGAAGAAGCTGTTTGCCAGAGTTCAAAAGCATGTTATTTGGGGAGTCCTCAAGTCTGTCACTGGAATGCAGGTAAATAACACCTAAATTCGGTCTCTGATAACTTCAAACCACTTAACTTTTTGAAGACAAAAGACATTAAGATGTACTTTTAAAGCACAATAATCGTGCTGGTAAAACAGGCAACAATGTATTTCCATGACTGAAATGGCAATGGACGTTTTTCACAATTATGAGAGGTAACAAATTAGTTTGGAATTAGATAGCATCTATGAAATCTAGTGTACTATGCTTGATTTGATACGGTTTAAATGAGCAGAAAATTGACAACTGGTAAAACTCTCCAGAAATAGACGTTACATCGAGAGATATAGGAATTATTTCGTTCCTACTTTTCTTTTCGATTTTTCTCTTTATTATCAGTATGTTTATGATACTTCTAAGCTCACTCAACACTTTGATAATTCTACAAATAGATATCTCTACAACTGTCCCTTCATGTACATACTAACATTTATCTATAATGTATCCAGTTGAGTAGTTGTCTATTCGTAATTCAAGTATTAGTTTTTCATTTGTAAAACAGTCCACCTTTGATATTAACAAGACTGTTTCTTGATTTCTCTAAGGGTTATAGTCCTTCTCAATCCCCTTGCAAGTGCTTCACAAGTCTTTTAGAGCCTCTCAATGGGCTTACTTGGTCTCTAGAGGGTAAGAATGTCAAGTTCTACACATGCTAGAAATTTAAGCACGTGAAAAGTGGTATAAGAGCAAAGGTCATTTCCACAATGAAAGGATAAAACCAACGAGAGCAAGTCACGACCTTCCGTAAGTCCCTCTGGTGAAGCAACATAGTTCTGAATCACTTTCTTATATATGGATGTAAAGTACACATGAGAGAAACAGAGGAGGCCATCGAATTGTTACTTAAAGAGAATGTTGGTATACGTATATCAATGGTGGCTAAGGCGTTGATGGGCAACCTTAGACAAGAGCTCAAGAAAGAGATGGAATTATATCCCATGAGCTCTAACAGTCTTTATAAGTTCATTGAAGACATGCTTTGAGTTATCAAAAAAGAGATGGATTCAATGTGTCGTGGTGGAGAACCTTTTAGCAATCAGCTAAGCCTCGACAATATTAGTAGTCATGGCTTCAAAAGTTCTAGAGCTTCATGTGTTCAACAACACGTGGAACATTACCATGGTCGAAAACTCTCTTTGACCTTGAACAATAATACTTTAAGTCCAAGCAGCTAACCGATGATGCGACAAAGATTGACAATGTTGTTAAGTTCCTTCAAGTTTCGGCCCAACTATTGGTGGAGAAGGAAGCATTGAAGAGAGAGGAGGGACGGATGTACAACACTAATATGTGGAATATTTCAACGCAGAGTTATGCAAGAACTTTGTTACACACAATGCTGATTAGTGGGGAGATAAAAACTACCAAGACTCCACTGAAAATGTAGGATAATAGACAATATCTTAGAGTTAACCAACTTTATATATTGAAACTCAATGATGTGTCAAATAGGGGCACCTTATTGAACGATGAAATCGAAGATTGGGCACACTTGGACCTTGAATAATACAACAAGCATAGGCTTAAAGACAATTACGACGAGCAATTTACTTGTTCACTATACATTCAAGTTGAGGATCCTATCCATGAAATAAGTAACGGAGAGAGAACGTTACAAGGTAGAAGGAAAATGGGAACAAGAGTGGAGCCCTTCCCTATAACATGGCAAATCAAAATGCCAAGGACAACAACGGGCCCAAAATTGTCACCGACAAAAGGCCATCATGAATGCTTTAATGATAGAAACACAAACAAGAAAATAAACGAACCCAAGGTAACCTTGCTTCAATGCAGTACCTTTGGCATTAGTATTGTCACTTTCGAAGAAAGAGAATGAAGACTCAAGGTTGTTATTCCTTGATCTTATAATAAATGGCAAGGTGAGGAAGCTTATTCCTCGATTCCCACTATAAATCTGTAGCCCGATCTAAGGTGAGGAAGCTTATCCAACACTTAAAGACAATTCTAGGGTAGATATATCTAAAGTATCATTTCATGTACATAGTAAAATATTTCAAGTAGTTGTCTGTTTGTAATTCGTGTAAGGCCATGTATAACCAAGCCACCCTTAATTTGTGAAAGAAGTCCTTAGAGATGAATAAGAGCGTTTCTCACTTTGTCTAAGTGTGAGAAGTCATTTTTTTCATTACTTTGTCTCGATTCCCACTATAAATGTTTCACATGCCTTTTTCTGCCCTCCAGATAGGCTTGCGTGGACCCTTGATTTCCGGTAGTGTATGGGTTAAAAGTTTAAGCTAGTGATTGGAATGACGATGTAAGAGAAATGGAGAACATGAAGACGAAATTGCTAAGAATATCATATCCACAAATTAGGTAACACTGTAAACAAAGATTAAGAGATATTGTGTAGTATATTTGATTCCATAAATTGTCTAGGGTTGGCTAATGAGAGAGTTGGTTTGCCTCTTGAAAATAAATAGACCATCATTCATCTAGGTGAGTTAGCTATGTATCAAGATATAGGTGTTATTGTGTCGATTTGCTTAGTTTAAAAGATGATGTTATTATGTTGGTTTACTTAATTTATTACTAGTATAAGTTTATTATGCTTTTCTGTTGATAATCAATATATAAATGTTGGTTGCTGCAGGGTAAGAAGTTCAAAGATAAGTTGCATGGTCAAAACAAAGAACCAAATCTAGCGAATGTCCCGACACTTGATCATGATAGCGACAACGAGGATGGCTGCAAATCCGAGAATCATGGTTTAGGTTTTCCTAAACGGCCTGCTGCTGCTGATGGAGCTGGTGATGGATTTGTTACCTCTGTTAGAGGACTATTCTCTACACAACGCCGCAAGGCCAAAGCCTTTGTCCTTCGCACAATGAGAAATGAAGGAGAAGAGCCAATGCCTGGCGACTGGAGTGATAGCGAGGATTATTCTCCTTTTGCTAGACAACTCACTATAACAAAAGCCAAGAAACTTATCAAACGCCACACCAACAAGTTTAACTCACACAAAGGTTGCATTGGATATCATTTAAATGTATTGTATCTGATGCATGCATGCATTTATGTATAATATATACATCTTGTGTTTGTCTGTGTCTCATACATGCCTGATATGTACATTCATTATCTTAGACATGCATCCATGTATCACACACATTATGCTTGATACATGATACATACATGCATGTATCGCACACATTGTGCCTCATAATATAAATGTGCATGTATCAAGCAAATTCCCTTTTTTTTTGTTTTTTATGTTGTCATAATAAAGGTTAAAAATGCTATCCCCGCACTTTTTATATACAACTCATTCCTGAGTTAGTGACGTAACATGCTCCATAATTCATAGGTTGTTTTGCTATATACTACCATGAAAATGATACCAAAAGTATACTCGGCGAAATAACTTGAGAAAATTTCGACTAATGTAGCTTCCCTTATGCATCAATCAGGTTTTTCTGTTGACGGACTTCCATTTTCACCGAGAGATCACGGGGCATCTGAAACTGATTCTTCGAGTGGTGATCCTTTTGAGGAATACCTCGAGTACAAAGCTGCCCAAGAAAATGATGCCCAGGAAAACACTCTTGCTGAAAAACCACCATCCACGCCGTAATGTGGTTGCTAAAAACAACCCAATGTAGATATATAAACAAATTATAGTTTCTTTATGATGGTTTAACTGCATTTTGATCTTTCTTTCGATCTTTATTTATGGGAGTTGTATACACGGAACAAATTTATATGTTGTAGATGTTCTTGTTACCAGGCGATTTGACAATTTGACAGTACTCAAGAGGTTCATGATTATGTATACATGAAATTTCTGTATTTAGAATCAAAATAAAGGTGAAATTTTTTACGATCATTGCAATTGAACTAATTATATTAATTTATATTTATTGGATGGTACAGTGTTCAAAAATTAAGAAACAATTTTCTTAAAAGCATGAAGCTAAAGCACATGCGGCCACTTGGGAAGATGAGGAACAAAAGGAGTCTCATGTCGACACAATTCGGTTTGTCCATGATATATTGTTAAGGCTGTAAACAAATCGAATGTTTAAAGAACTGTTCATAAACGGTTCGGTAGAAAGTTAGTTTGTTTAATGAATGAACCAACATGAACACAAGTTCTCGTTCGTTTAGTTAAACGAACGAACATGAACATTGCTCCCGTTTGTTCATATATATCCGTAAACGTTCATTTATGTTGTTCGTTTATCTTCGTTGATTTAAGTTCCTTTTATGTTTATATATGTTCAAATATGTTTGAATACATTATTATATTATGTCCAATTATGTTTGTTTATCTCTGTTCGTTTATATTTGTTCATTTATGTTTGTTTGGCATGTTCATGAACATAAACGAATTAATATGAGCAATGGAATTTGTTAAACAACCAAACATGCATGAACAAGAATACGCGTTCGTGTTCGTTTGTTTGTTCGGCTAACTTAAACGAACGAATATGTACAACCATCGTTCGTGTTCGTTCGATACGTTTATAGCCCTATATATTGTACCTCTACAAAACAAAAATGAGTTACAACTTCTCATTATCGGTAATGAAAAAAAAAAGAGGGAGGAGATATGACATTGCACGTTATGTCGTGAGTCAAAAGGTTGTATCATCCATGCTTCTTGCTAGGGTTTTACGTAGACCTATTCACATATCTCTTTATAGAAGAACGAGTTTTTTTCCTTCACCATCTAGGGAGTTTCTTCTATTTTGTGCATGATATATGTGTTATAGTGTGATTTAGATTTCGGTGGTACGAATATAACCAGAATACAACTTGAATATAACCTGACATGAAAGAAAGTGAGAAAACTCAAATGACGAATTCAATTGGATAAGTGTTGGGAGTAGGTTGAAGTTTGTTAGACTAGTCCCATCAACAACCAAAGTCAACCCAGCTATCTACTAAAAAATGTAGGATTTTATTCAAAAATCGGTTTCTAAAAACACTAACAACGGCAATTGAAGCTTTAAAATGTTGAATAAACTTAAAAACATTTTAACCCACCAATGATCATTTTGCATGAACATGAAAGATTAATAACAGCCATAAGCCATAGGAAGAAAGAATAACAACCTTTGAAGACTTTGATTCCTCTGGGGAAGTTGGAAGTTGTAGAAGATGACAAGAACACAAAGTAGAGTTCCTCTAGAGATATCCACCCATAATTACCAAGTTAACTTGGATGCTAGTATTTTTTATTGCAAAATAAGCTCTTAAGTATTTAAGAATAAAAGCCAATTTTTTGTCTTAAAGGAGAGCATAAAAGTATCACTATTTTCCTTATGTCTTAGCTAATTAAGAACTAAAGAAAGACGAGGGAGAGAGAGAGCTGCAAAACCAAAAAATTTCATCATAAAAAATTGAAAATGAAAGCCTTTCTTAAGACTTTTCTTCACGTCATTATCCCATGGGTCTTGGCACTTTAAGATCCATGCTCATTCATCTTGCCATGACATGCTTCTAAAACATGGCATTCCCTTTAAAATAATCAAGTAAGACAACATTGTCCCCTTGTAACATCCGGACTCCCAGGTATATATATATATATATATATATATATATATATATATATATATATATATTTGGGGTTTATTGAGTAACTCGGCGAGTTGGTGCCTCAACTCGTCGAGTAGAATCGTGATTGGCCACGGAGGTTAAGTGACCAACTCGCCGAGTTGGCGCTGTGAGATGAAACCCTAAATCCCCCGGTTTGGGGACTATTTAAGAGAACTTATGTTCTCATTTGCGCCTCACCAATTGCCCAGCCTCCCTGTGTGAAACCCTAAACGAGTGTAGTGAGCTAAGAGAGTCTCAAAGCTAATCTTGACGAATTTTAGTGCGTCTTTTGAGGAGAAGAGGAGTTTGTCCAGCAAGGAACAAGGATGAACTATGGGATCCAGGGTCAGTTCGTCCAAAGCTTCAAGTGGAAGGTAAAAAGCATGCACCTTTCTCATTTATTCGGTTAGATCTCATGGTTATGGAAGATTAGGGTTTCTACCACCTTTTAATTGGGACTTCGAGCATACTGATTTATCATGAGGTTTAGACCTCATATCTGGACCTTGTGAGGTCCCTAAAGTCCAAAGGTCCCAACTTTATTCATCGATATGAGGGTTATTGTGCTTAACACTTTGTGAAAACATGTATTGGTGTTTTGGAGCAAAAGTACCATCCAAATAAGGAAGTAGACTGAAGGGACTCGTCGAGTCCATGGACTGACTCGACGAGTCGGTTAGGGTTTGTCCTGATGAGCTGAGCATGCGATAACTCGGCGAGTTGGAGGTCAACTCGACGAGCTGAGCTGGACTTGCATGAGACATCCGAGGAGTCAAGGGGACTCGACGAGTTGCATAAGTGCACTCGACGAGTTGAGTCAACATTGATTGTTGACTCGAGTTTGACTTCTGTTGACTTTAGGCTTTGGTCAAACATGAGAAATGGAGACAATGGAGGGGTAAAATGGTCTTTTACTCGCTTCAAGAGTTAGAGAGAGAAAGAATAACCTTTGCTTTATTTGGAGTAGTGAATAGAGTATTAATTAGAGATATTTATCCTATGTGTTATGCGGAGGCTAGTTCGAGATTCGTATACGAGGTTATTACTTGCTTGCTTACGAGGTGAGTCTTCTCACTATACTTACCTTGAGTGGTAATCTATATGTGACCGGAGGGTCTTATGTGCATATATTGTGTATTGAGATATCCTGCGTATTGTCTTTGTGATATATGTTGTGTATTATATTGAGCTGCCGAGTTGAGAGACCGGAGGGTCCGGCTGAGTTGTGGGACCAGAGGGTCCCACTGAGACACATTGACCGGAGGGTCTTATTTTAGATATAGCCATGAGAGGCTAATGAGATATGTGTGGTATTTTGGGGAACTCACTAAGCTTCGTGCTTACCGTGTTGTGTGTTATGTGTTTCAGGTACTTCTCAGGATCACGGAAAGGCGCCGGCTTGATAGTACACACTGGAGCGAGAGTATTTTATGATTCTGGGATAGTGATTTTATTTTGTGGATTTTGATGACACTTGAGATAATTGTGGTTTTTGAGAAATTGTGATATTAGTTTTATTGTGTTTAAAAATGAAAATTTTGGTTTGAAAATTTACGGTGTTACACCCCTAGCTTTCTTTAGTTAGTTATTTATATAAAAGAGAGATTTTATAAAAATATTCTAACTTTTATATTTTTATAAAGCCATGACATCTTAGCTAAAAGAAAAAATGTTTTTAAGTCTAAAAATATGTACATGACTTTATATACCATACCTTATGATATAAACCATGATAATTATATTAAAATAATATTATTTTCCTAAAATAAATAATTTTCAGTTAATTACTAGAATTATATTTATTTATCAAGGATAAAAATTTTATAAATAATATATTTATGTCAACTTGTTACTAGTGTGATCTTTTAGGATCATATGTTATTAACAAATATCATTCTATAATAATACTTGAACATATAGATCTTTTGGTCCCTGGAAGGGTGTTATCAGGTTCCGGAAGAAGGGCAAGTTGGGCCCCAGGTACATTGGTCTGTTTAGGGTTTTGGCCCGGGTGGGTCGAGTTGCTTATCGGTTGGATCTTCCAGCAGAGCTTAGCCAGATCCACAACACTTTCCATGTTTCTTAGTTGAGGAAGTGTTTGGCGGACGAGTCAGCAGTGGTACCCTTGGAGGATATTCAGGTTGATAGCAGCCTGAATTATATCGAGAGGCCAGTTGCGATCTTAGATCGGAAGACGAAGACCTTGAGGAACAAGGTGGTTCAGTTAGTGAAGGTGCAGTGGCAGCACCGGAAGGGTTCAGAGTGGACGTGGGAGGCCGAGGAGGAAATGAGGGAACATTACCCTGAGATATTTTTAGATTCAGCAGCAGCAGACTTCGAGGACGAAGTCTAAGATAAGTGGGGGAGAGTTGTAACGCCCCATTTCTGGTATGTGATTTAATTAAAGTAATTTTCATTTCTTAAGGGGTACTCGACGAGTCAGTAGCCCGACTCGTCGAGTAGAGACGGGTTTTGCACGCGATTTAAGTTGGCGACTCGACGAGTCCATATTCCCGGACTCGGCGAGTCTGCCAGTCTGGATGAAACCCTAATTTCAAGGGTTTGCACCCTATTTAAACATCTTATGTGCTTCATGACCAGCCTCCCTCACCCACAAAGAGTCCCATACGAAACCCTAGTCGTTCTTAAGCATTTTTGGAGCATTTTCTCACTTGTGAAGGTTTTAGTGCATCTTGGGGATTTGGGGAAAGAAGAGAGAAGAGAAGTATTCAAGGGGAGCAAGTAGATCCGGACTTCTGGGTGCATTTCAGTCCTCCTTGAGGTATCAAGCTCGAATATTTGCTTATTATCAATTAGATCTCTTGAGAAGTTTGCTTTTGTTGATTTTGAGCCCATTCTAGACTTTAAGGTCGAATTATGAGTTAATATGATGAATGGACTTCAGATCTAAGCTTTCTAGAGCCTCTTAAGCTCAAGGTTGCCACCTTTATGGAGCGAAGTTTCCATTCCAAGCTTAGATCTCTTCCTTTAGCTTATTTTGGGTATTTGAGCTTCATATTAGCATGCATGCACGTAAAGTTAGAAACTTTACGTGAAAAACCAGCCCTAGGAGCCCAGATCTATGAATGGAATGCTCTGGATTCGAGCAGAATCGACTGTTTAGTATTGACATGCATGGGACTCGGCGAGTTGTTCTTCAGACTCGACGAGTCGGGTCGCGAGTCCCCGATTTTCCCTATTTGAGAGTTAAGGTGGAATCAGTGAGTAGGTAATGGACTCGGTGAGTTAAGGCTCAGATCTAGTAGTGGAGGGACTCGACGAG